TTAATCAAAAATCAAAATGCATCGTTTGATGATTAATCAGCGTAAAACAATTGTTTTGACTTAGTTAGGTGCGAATCTCTTATCTACTATAGGAGTTTAAGAAAATCTTCATCATATGATTGGGATTTGTTTGATGGTTTCAGAAAGCATTTGGTGGGATTGTCTCACACAAACTTACCGAGAAATATGACTCATACGAGTCTAGAATTTTAGATCTCGGCTCGATCAATAGCTCGACGAACATAGGCAGCTATGAGTATGAAGTATAAATGAGCCACCCCAATGCTCGAGTTTATTTGTTCATCTAGCTAGAGTCCTTTTTATCACTACCCTTTTTTTTTTTTTTGAGGAAATTTTATATCACTGCCTTAGTACCTTTACAACCACACACAATTGTTATATAATTTGGTTTTAATGTTTCTACAAATAATATTATTGAGTTGTGCAAAAAATATTAAAGAGTATAATAAATTCTGTCACTCATATAAGTCATTTTTAAGTGTTGCTGAAAATTGGATGTTGAATTAGAAGGACAAATAATAATTACATGATTATGACTAGTGCATTTATATATTAAGAATATACTCCATACCCAAAATATTTATCAAAAGCAAAGTATAACATCATTTCTTTCATTTTTCCAGTTGTAACATTGGTGTTCTCATGCTCATTAATGTATTATATATAATGAAATAAAGGTTTACATTGACAAATCAAGTTAATGGTGAAAATTATTGTCAAGGTTTTTATAATGTTTGAATCCTAATAGAAAAACTTTCCTACCAAAAAAGACAGTACAAATACTTGTTACTCTCTTTGTCGTCCTATATATGATTTAATTTAGTATTGGTTTCTATTTTTCATAATAATTGAGGGTAGTGCAAAGAGTGTATAATTTTCACATTTAATAATAGCATTACAATATGATTAAGTGTATCATTTTTATTAAGATTATAAATCAAACATGCACTCAAAGAATTTTTGGATACATCCATATATATTTTATACAAGAGTATGAAAAGGTATTTAATTGGTGAATCATAATTTAAATACGTAAAATTACAAATACAAAGATTAGAAACGACACTATATTATACAAGGTGATACTTATTGTTACAAAAACTTACTATTAATAATATAATGAATTAGCTACTACGTCCGTTACATATTAGTTGCAACTTTTAAATTTTTTATTTCTCACAAATAATATTCTAAAATTGCAACTAATATGTAACGGAGATAGTAGTATAATTTAAAAGGGGTTGGAACAGTAGCAAATCTTGTACGAAGTATAATAATATAAGAGCCGTCGTTAGAAGTATAATATGATTTACATGCACTATATATAGTTGAATTGTTTCTTGTTTAACAAGGCCTGCAGTAGTTGCATAATAATAATAACAATCAGATACACGAATGATACACGGGGATGGAGGATAAAAATAAGACAAGCCGAATAATAAAAAGATAGGATAAACCAAAAAAACCACAGAAATTTAATAAATTAAACAAGAAGATTACGACGGCAAATCACCAGCCATACTACACCTACGCCCATTTCAATCGACTGTCACATCACCCCCTTTACGATTAATTTTAGAGGAGAGAATCATCTACCTTTACGGAATTACGGCCGGGTAATTAAGAAATTAATTAATTTATGATTAATTTTAATACGAGACGGTTTCATAATTATTGTAAGTTACGTGAAAAATATCGTCCATCTCACTCAAAATTTGGAACACTACGTATAAATACGAATTATAAGTTATCTATCTTGTATGAATATTGAATACCTCATTGATCTCCATTTAACAATTTTAAGCAAAAACAATCTTTTATATATGAGGTGTGAATCGTGTGGTTGTGTAATGCATTTAAGCATGTTCTCTGTTATTATTTTCAATGATAATCAAGCAAAAATTAAATACCAGGTGTATTATTGGGGTATGTTATTCTAGGATGTCATAAAAAAAACTAACACAAACTATTAGGTGCAGCAGTTCGCAACCAATGTTTGGTGCGGCACACTCCTTCTTCTCTTCCTTTTTCTTTTTCTCTCCTCTACTCCACGTTTTTACTGGGTACCCCTTCTTCTCTTCTCTTTCTCTCTCCACTGTTCCTCTTTTTTTCTCTACTCCTCTTTAAGCTAGGTAATTTTCATTGAAATTGGTGCGATTTGCAGCTGGTCGTGAAGGTGGCGTGGGTGGTGGTGCGATTTGCGAAATTGGTGGTTGGAGGTGGCGCAGGTCGTGAAGGTGGCTTGTGGTGCGATTTACGAAATTGGTGGTTGGAGGTGGCGCAGGTCGTGAAGGTGACTTGTGGTGCGATTTGCGAAATTGGTTGTTGGAGGTGGCGCGGGTCGTGGCTGCGGTTGTGCTCCGGTAGAAGCTGCGGTGTGGCTGTGCAGGGTGCTTGTAGCAGGTTTGGCCTGGTGTTTAGGGGAAAGGTGGTGGCTGGACGGTGGTGCCTTGCTGGTTGCGTGGCTGTTTGGGGTTCAGCAGATCTAGTGTAAATGGACGGTGGTGCCCTGCTGGCTGCGTGGTTGTTTCGGATTGTGCAAGTGGTGCCCTGCTGGCTGCGTGGCTGAGTAGCGGTTGGGCATTTGGGGTGCAGCCGGTGGTTTGTTCGGTTGTTTGTTGGGTTGGTGTTGGTGAATTGGGGGAACAAGGGAGATATGCTTGCGTGAGTGGTGAGGAGAAATGAAGTAAAAATAAGTACTAATGAGTGGTGAGTGGTGGTGAAAAGAAAACTAATGACGCATATCAGCCATTAAAATGAACATATAAGCCAATTAATGTCTGATATCAGTCAATATTAGGAACACATGACATTAATAAAAATGTATCAGTCAATACAAGGAATATATCAGTCAACAAATAAAACATATCAGCCAACAAAAGAAACATATCATCCAACAGAAGATACATATCAGCCAAAAGATGGAACATATTAGCCAACAAATGAAGCATATCAGCCAACAAAAGGATGAAATCAGCAAGTAAAAGCAACATGTAAGCCAACAAAATAAACACATTAACCAACACAATGAAACATATAAGCCAACAATTAAAATATACATATCAGCCAACAAAATAAAGATATCAACCAACTAATGTCTAATAGCAGCCAACAAAAGGAACATTGAAAAAAAAAAAAAAAAACATAACAGCCAACAAAAGGAATATATTAGCCAACACAAAAATCATATTAACCAACAAATGAAACATATCAGTCAACACATGAAACATATCAGTCAACTGAAACATATCAGCCAACTAGTAAACTATATCATCCAGCCTGCCGCACGCAAAATTTGCGTGCGGCTTTCCGCACCCAACACCTTCTCAAAAACTAAAGGATCATCTTTTTAAAAAGTAAGAATTTACTTATACAAAACTTTTTAATTTACACTTACCCTATATAGGTTAAAAGCTTAAGGCCGATGTTTATAGGATCTTCAATCATCGATTAATCCCCACGCCATCAAGCTATCAATTAACCTTCGGCAAATGAACAATAAAAATGGAGGAAATATATAGTTAGATAGTTAATAGATTTTTAGATAAGAAGTATATAATTTAATAAGACATTATTATTATTATTATTGATTTGAGTTAAAGCTGTCATAAAAATGATAAAGTATATTAATTAATTTTAGATTTTAACTATTAGTTTAAACTTTTGAATGAATAAGTCCTTTACCATAGTATTAGAGCTTGGGTATCAATCCTCTTATAAACTACGGAGTAGTTCTTTAAACACTATTAGATAAGAAATTACCCTGACCAGATGTCCAACCCGTATAATAGAGTATTATTGCTCTAACCTTTCTAGTTAGCTCTGAATCCAAATACTGAAATACTACTTAGAAAATAATTTAACAATACAGTAGGTCGACAAAATACATTTTAAAAGCAGTAAGTGACCATTATTAGTGTGATATTTTACTAAATAATCTCACATGGCATCAAAGTGATCAACTTCAATTCTCTGTACTAAGTTAATCCTACGGATTACTATTTATTTTTATGGAAACTATCAAAAGAAGCTGTCATTGAAGTTTTCTTGCAAACATTTGTGTTTCTCCTGACCCTTATTTCGATCCCCTGATCGCATGAAACTGATAGCTGTATACTTACAATATTGCTTAGTTGTTTGTCCTAATATTTTAAGATTATATGAATGTGATTATGTGAATACATATGGATTTACCTTAAATTGATAAAATCACTGTGCTAATGTAAATATATTAGTTGGTTTTCCTCATAATATTTAATACAAAGTAGCATGAAAAAAATATGAAATTACAATAATCATTAAAGTTATGCATTACTTTAAAATATCTTACTGGTTGAAATTATGCATTAACAACCGTAAAACTCAGACGGTTACAAGTAAAATAGAACAGAATTACTCCCTATATAAGTCAACCCATTACTCATAATATTTGAAAGTAGATGAAAAGGTAAAGAAATTTCCCTACTCATAAACGTATGTAAATATTCTTAATGACTCGTATTAAAAATGATTTTTTGTGCCCGAATACCCAATACGGAGTAATTTTCGGAACCTATGAAACTGCAATGGTAAGAACTATAAATTAACTCCAAAATGCAAAGGAAATGGGTCCTTAAACTGACCATATCATACTAATATAAGATGAACATGTGCCCCATCTAGTTGGAGCATCAAGTGGTATTAGAGCTTATGGTCCGGTTGGGGCATAAACATACAACACAGAAGAATGATGTTGCTCAATGATGTGTGTATAAATCTTTGAGACCGCCTTAGTTAATCAGGCTTATTGACGAAATATTGTAAATTAGCCCCTTTTGTGGGCAAGCTTTGCAATATAGCACACTTTTTTTTTTCAAAAAAAAAAAAAAACTTAGATCTAGCATCACCATTCACGATGGATGAACCACCACCACCACCATCTCCGACTACTTCATGTCATCTCGCCGGTCATCGGTCATTACGAAGCCACCGCACTACCACCATTATTCCCCTATCATCTCGCCGGTCAACCACGAACCACCACAATCATCTCCGTCTTCTCGTGTTCGTCTCAGCCGCCATCACCATCACAACCCCTTGTTCCTCTCCGAAAGGCCCTCTTCGTGTCCCTCTTCTTCTTCCCTTCTTCCTCCTTCCTTAACAACCACTCCACCGCTGCTTTGCGGCAGTAACAAAAAGATACCCTAATAGAAAAAGGGGGTAAATTAGGGCCATATCAACCCCTTAGGGTAGCATCTTCTTCGCGGGAAGCAATTTTAACCACCTTAGGTGTTGGTGGCGGTGGTCTGCAATAGAGATTTCATGGAGGAAGAAGGTGGGTTTTTTAATGGAAGAATGGAGAAGGGAGGAAGAAAGGGATGAAACTTACAAAATTATCCCTAATTAAACAAATAAAATTACCCATATACCCCCTGAATTACATTGCTTGTCAATTAGATTGATCAACAAGTATTTCCTCTAAATCTTTGACAGTTTTTACCAGAATGGAGGATGGAAAGTGAATTCCAAAGAGTGAGATATATGCTCTTTTAAATGAACGAATAATCGATTTGATCGAAAAATACGAAGGATATTTGGTTATTGGAGTCATCACTTCGGGGATCACTGCGGCGTGACTGAATGTAGAGCAGTCCGCTCTTACAGCCTTTGATCAATTAATACGAGTACTCACTAGAGGTTGATTTTCTTGTACCCAAATACCCAATTATTAGATATACTAGTAGTTACATAAGCTACAAGTCCTATAAAACTTGAATAGTGCAAGTAACACAATTTTGTTGAGTCCCAAATGTGAAAGAAATGGGTCCCTTTCCCTTATAAACAAGGTCTATTGTAACAAAGAGTTGAGCTACCCTCACCTCCATCCATCCATCCACCCTTATTAAACCCCATTTTGGCAATTACCAACCTGTCACTCTATCCTCATCACTCATCTTCTTTCTCACTCTCTCTCTTTCTCTCTCTCTCTCTCTCCTCCCAACACAATAGTACAACAGAATCACCCCTCTTCACCTCCAGCTAATACCCAGACCCACCCTTTTCTTTCTCTTTCTCTCCCCTAAAACTTAAATTAATGGCTTAATTACATTATATATTCCCTTTTATTTCCATCTTTTCTTCTTTTTTTCCTATCTCTCTCTACCGTTGATAACCCCATTAACAAACTTACAGTTTTGAGCTCAATAACATCCATCAATGGTGTCGGTGGAAGAAACCCACTCTAATTCTACTCGATTACATTCCATGTACGCTAACTTTCACTCCCCTTCTTCTCTCTCCTCCGCTTCTTCCACCCAGATATGGCGAGAACGAGGCCGCTCCATGAGAACCGTTCGTTCCACCATCTTCTGCCCTTCTCCTTCCCCCTCCGCCGGCGCCGCCGACCTTCCGCCGCCGCACCCTCCGACGGCGAGCAACTTCGTCTCCGAGAATCTCACTGACTCAGTCATGGACATCCGACTCGGTGAACTCGCTTCTCGAACTGCCAAATCGATCAAATCTTCCTTCGCTGATGACGATTTTGGCCTTCTCGACGATCTCTCCCGCTCTTTTAGCGACTACTCTGTGTGTAGCAGTGATATTTCCGGCGAGCTTCAGAGGTTAGCTGCGACTGCTTCGATCGGGCCGGGTTCGGGCCCTGGATCGGGTGAAATGGATCTAGAGCCCGAACCATGTGAAGGGTTTCTTCAGAGAGAGAGCTTTTCGACGGAGATTATCGAGAGTATTTCGCCGGAGGATTTACAGCCTACGGTAAAATTCTGTGTTGATAGCTTATCATCGCCGTCGGCGGCGATTAAACGGTCGGCGGCGGCGAAGCTACGGTTGTTGGCGAAGAATCGGGCCGATAATCGGGTTTTGATTGCGGATTCGGGTGCTGTTCCGGGTTTGGTTCCGTTGTTGAAGTCTACTGATCCGTGGACTCAAGAACACGCGGTGACGGCACTACTTAACTTGTCTTTACACCCGGATAACAAGCGGCCGATTGCCGAAGCTTCTGGTGCGATAAAATCTTTAATCTATGTGTTGAAGACGGGGACGGAGACGTCGAAGCAGAACGCAGCCGCGGCGTTGATGAGTTTGGCGATGGTTGAGGAGGAGACGCGCCTTACGATTGGCGCGTCCGGGGCGATACCGCCATTGGTGGCGCTTCTTATAAATGGGACTACAAGGGGGAAGAAGGACGCGCTTACGACGTTGTATAAGCTGTGTTCGGCGAAGTTGAACAAGGAGAGAGCGGTGAATGCTGGGGTGGTGAGTCATCTTGTGGGGTTGGTGGCTGATCAGGGGAGTGGGATGGCGGAGAAGGCGATGGTGGTGTTGAGTAGTTTGGCGGGGATCGAGGCGGGGAGGACGGCGATAGCGGAGGAAGGAGGGATAGCAGCGTTGGTGGAGGCGGTGGAGGAGAGCTCGCAGAAAGGGAAGGAATTCGCGGTGGTGACATTGTTGCAGTTGTGTGGGGAGAGTGTTAGGAATAGAGGGTTGTTGGTTGCTGAAGGGGGTATTCCTCCTCTTGTTGCTTTGTCTCAGATTGGCACGGCTCGTGCTAAGCAGAAGGTCAGTGTTGAACTAATCTTGATGCTTTTATTAGGTTTTGTGGGTGATTTATTTTGTTTGTGATTTTATTGGTTTGGTTGCAAGTTTTTGGTTGATTAATTTGTGGAATTGTAAGGTTAGGAATGCATGATTAGCTATGGAATTGTTTGGTTAGGAATGATTAGGTTATGAGATTGCGAGGCCGAACTTAAAATGTTGGAGATTGTGGAGAAAATTGTGTAATTATATGTTGAAGTGATCATTTTGTGCTCAAGGAGTGTATGGATTTGGGTAAAATTGAGTAGAATACATCATGGTGTTTGGTTGTTTAACTTTAATTGTCAATCTTGCTTGATTAATGTAGAAAAAGGAGTGATCTGGCTTGGTTTGCAATAAGTTCGTGAAGTTAGAGTGAAATGAATGCAATTTAACTCGAATTGGGTGATTTGAGTATGGAATACTTGGTTGGCCAAAATTGATCATCAGTCCAAAAATAATATTAGAGAAGTGCATTGATAAGTGCTTTCTTTTATACTCCATCAGAGGAGAAATTAAAGGCCGTTCTTGATTGTTAATTCTTTGATCTATGAAGGATTGTGATAAAAAAGTGAGGGTTTTGGTAATTATGTCATGCAATCCCCTTTTAAGATTTAGAGTATTGGGCACTTATGTCACACAATTTCCTTCCAACTACTGACTAGTTCATATGCACTCTTTTAAAAGGAAGAAGGTTTGTTTCTAAGCTAAGCTATTGGGGATTTGGGGTTGATCAGCCATTAATTAGGACATTAGGTTGCTGGTTGTTTACTGACCTTGACATGTTCCCTTCGAATGAACATCATCCTTTTCTTGGGTAGTTTGGGAGCAGGGCGGAAGAGATCATCTGTTTAATCCAGACTTTAATCTACCTAACTAACTACGACTGATGATGCTTCAATTACATTTTGACTAAGGGTAGTTAAAGTGTCTGAGACAATGAGACTCTGTCAAGATTTAGATTGCATTACGAGTTTACTTTATAGTTTGTCAATATAATTCCACTATAGTGTTGATTTTATTTGTTTTAGTGAGGTGACTTTTTTGGGTGCGAGCAGTTAATTTACTATATTCTTATCATCTTTTGTTAATTATGACAGGCTGAAACCCTTCTTAAAATATTGAGGGAGCCGAGGAAACAAGAGGCAGCAGCTTCGTCGTCAAGTCCTTAACAACCAACCGAAGTGGTATATTTTACAATTAACTTTGGGGTTTTGCTTCCATAGTACTGTATATATCGAGGAGGTAGAGTGGTTTTGCCTTTGGTGGTGTCTAGTATGTACAGTTGTGTGGTTTTTGGGAAAGGACTGGAGAAACTCATTATTAGGAACTGTATTGAGATCTTCCTCAAGCTGACTTAGATATTCATTAGTAGTTTGCAAATAGGTTCTCTGTTTATCTTCTCCAACCCTCCTCTCTTGTAGTCATCTTTTTTCCTCTTTTCATAGCCGCCACATATTTGGAGATGGCCGAAATTCTTTGTGAATCAGTTTTCGCTTCTCAGAAGTTTGGGCTTGACGGGGTTCTAGTCCTTCCAATTTTTTGTTCCGGTGGTGCAAAAATTTGTAACATTTTCGTAGTATTATTTATAGGATGTACTATCTGTATGAAGTAATTAGTGTAGATGTGCTTAAAATATGAATTGATGGAAACAAGAGGGTACTTGCAATCCATCTTAGCTTTGGGTTATATTTAGAGGAATTGTTGAAGTTGTACATGTGTAATGTTTGGGTGTAAAACTATTATCAAAATGATATTGTTAGGTTGTTGGGTGTTGAGAAATTGTGACTCAGATTTTTATTGTCACCTCATCTTCAGGCAAGATTATTGATTGTTTGTCCTGAAATTTTTTACTACTCCTTCACCCATACTTGAATGTTTTGTACGGTGAGATTTGGTGTGACTAAATAAATGATTGAGCTCAAAATATTTGTTCATTCCAAATCTAATAAAGATCTAGTTTTGACCATGATCCTTGAGCATTGAATCGATTTAAAAATGTGTCAAAACTAAAATCTTACTACCTATGGAAATTTCCATCCTAACATGAGCAAAAGGCTACGAGAGTTAGAGGAGATTTGAGGTTATAAAATTACACTTGAATGTAGAATGGATACCCTAAATTACCTATATTAGGTGCGTGTTGCGAATAGCATTACATTTGAGTTTGGGTGTTGCTAATTGTAAAGCAATTGTTGGTATGGTTCGATTCCCTATATCTATATTTTTCTTCTCCTTTTACTAGAAGCGTAGTTTCTCACAAATTTGCTACTCCCTCCGTCTCTAATATTTTGCCCGGTCATTTGATTTTTCGCGGTCATCAAAACGGTCTTAAAATCGTTTTATCTTTCCTTTTGTACGTGTAAAAATTATAAAAATTAGATATTAATAAAATATACAATTAAACAAATTTAACAAGATCTCACATGACTATATTATCTCTTAATCTTTTATAGGTTAAGAGTATATTATGATCAAGGATATTAAAGTTTGACCCATAATTTTACAAGGGAGTAAAAAATTTAGGGACAGACGGAGTATTTGGTATAATTTACCCAAGATAGTAGAAATCTTAGATTGCCGACATGAAGCTCATGATCCATAAATTTGCTACAATTGGGAGCTAAACTTAGTTGCAAAAGCTTGATGTATAAATTGGTGATGATATAACAAGGACGATTTGAGAGATGAGACCCATTTGCAATTAATTGCCTTTGTATTTTTGTACTAGGACTAGGACTCCTTCGACAAGGCGGATCTCTTTGTCACCCTAAAGACAATGACAACACATTATTTCTCAAAACTTCTTTCGTCTTCACCCTTCTCACTGTTACTTCAATTCTTTAGCAAATTCCATTTGCAATCACATAAAATGTTTGTGATTGTGGCTTTACAAACGTGACGTAAATGTGTAAATAGATAGGTGATGACTGATGAGTGTATAAGGAGTGTATAAGGAAAAAATGGATAATAAAGTGCGTGAAAATGTGTAAATTTTGTAGGATATCCGCATATAGGGGTAAATAAATGGAATCGTTACATATGAAAAAAAATATAGGTATATTTAAAATATTAGCAAATCTAATATATATAAATAAAGTAGGCATTTTTCAAGAGCATTCGGCCCGCCACGTAAGAAATATACTTATTTTGACCAATAAGAAGAAGGATTTGTATTTTATTTTTGAATTAAAAAATTATGTCGCTACCTAGATAATTTTTTTTTTTTTTTTTTTTTTTTTGACAAAAGCAAAATCAAGCAAAACACTTATAACAGAAGGGATGGGGTAATCCTGCACTTCCTAGCTTTATCATTAGCTTTTTGGACTTGCTCCCTTGGGACCTTTAATATAGCGCATCGTTGAAAGGTTGATCCTATCTCCCTAATCTCCTTGATGAGCCACTTTATCGACACCACCTCACTTGCCTTGCACAGAAGGCTATTGACCAAAGTGACAGAATCAGACAGAATTAGGATCCCAGTTCTTCCTTGTAATCGGGCCCACCTCATGGCTTCCAGACAAGCCCAGGCTTCACATTGGATAGCAGACGCTGCAGCTCCCTGTTTCCCCCCTTCCTCCACCTCATGGCCCTGCCCTTGAGTTTGAACCACCCACCCTATCCCTGCTCTCGTCGAGTTCTTATCCCAAGAGCCATCAACTTCCACAACAAAGTCATCCAGCTTATCTCCTTCCTTACCTAGCTGGACAAGGTGAAAACCCGGGGGAAAACCTGGGTCCTCACCACTCCTAACCTCTCCCCCATAGTCTCTGTTGCCATGGTTGAAGAAAGTATCATGGTCCTGAAGTGCAATGTTAATAAAATTATGTCGCCACCTAGATAAAAGTAACGAATTAGATTTGATATATCTAAAATTTTAATGCCACGTAGATTACAATCCACGAATTAAATTATTTTAATGAAAAAAATAAAGTAAAAATATAGGAAAAAATAAATTTATTAGTTCAATACTACGAGTATAAGAAATATAAAAAAAAATATACTAAAAAATATTTAAATGATAAACGCTTATAATATAGTTTGATACCTATCGTTATAAGATAAATTTTGATAGTATTTATGATAAGAAATACAAATTTTTCGTTAATTATAATTAAATTAAATTTGTGATACCTACCATTATAAATTGATACATCATACGACACAAACAAAATTTCGTATCAATAAAAAACCCCATCAAGCAAATTTTGTGTTAGTAATTTTGTGTTTATTTTTGGTCATCAATGGCCGGGTAATTTTTAGCTTAATTTTTAAAATCCTATGTTTAAATTAGTATTTCTTATTATTGATTACATCGTATTAATTTGGGATACTCAACGATTATATGTTTATGTTTTATTTACTAAATATTTTTTTACATTCAAATCTAACACATCATACGACACAAATAAAATTTCGTATCAATACAAAACCCCATCAAGCGAATTTTATGTTAGTAATTTTGTGTTAGTTTTAGGTCATCAATGTCCGGGTAATTTTTAAAATCTTATGTTTAAATTTATATTTGTATTATTACTTACATTGTATTTATTTAGAATACTTAACGATTATTTGTTTATGTAATAGCATACGATTAGATGTTGTATACTTATGGATGACTTTGGTTATTTATGGAGATGATGAAAAAATTCCAATGCATAGATTTGATTTTATATTGTGGACGAGGTTGGTGGTCTATCGAAATAAAAGATATGGTAAAACAATGAATAATGATTTAGGATTTAAATTATTAAAAATTTATCATTTCACATTAAAGATTTTATATAACGGAAAAAATATCATATTTACAATTTATTTATATTTAATAAATTCATTATAAATTACAGTTTAAAAAATATTAAACTTTTGTAATTTTGTCTGAAATTATTAAATACAATAAATTAAATAATTAAAAATGAAAAAACCGTGCATCGCACGAGCTTCCATCTAGTGGAATATATTAAGAATTTTTAAAACAGAAGTCATATGAAGTATTTTTTAGCATAATAATAGTAAAAAAAAACAAGGAAAATTTAATAACAATAAACCAACCTTTGCCCCATTCTCCCATAACGAAACAACCTTTAAATCTGCTCAAAATAAACACAAGTTTGTATTTTTTCTCTCATAATAAACCCAACTGACCTATGACCTGAACAATCGGTCATTTTATTTATTTTCCTTTAATTATTTTTTTTAGATTAACAAAATAAATTAAATTAAATTAAAAAAAAATAAAAAAAAATAAAAAACTCAAACCTCCCCTAACCCCACTGCCAACCCCTCCTCCATTAAATCCGGCCACCATGCCCTTCACCACCTCCCTTTCCGGCCACCCTCCCCTTCACCTCTCTTTCCAACCACCTTGTCTTTCTGGCCACAACCCACCCGAAACCGGCCAATCCCCACCCGAAAACCCCCACCGGAACCGAACAAGCCTAAAACCCCCACTCGGATTCCGGCATCCTCCAAGACCCCCACCCTTGAAATCGGTATATCCTTAAACCCCCACCAGCCACCACTTACACCGACGCCGCCCAAAACCATCTCCCCTATCTTTAAAACAAATCACCTTACTCATATGCTTCAAAACACCACCATCTTTACCAAACTCAGAAGCATTGGGTGCCTTTGCTACTCTTGGCTTTACCCAATACTTCTCGTCTTCTCCTGAATTGCACATTCTACTCCTTCCATCTTTGTCAGTTATTCTCCATTTCTACTTCCAGAACCTCTACTACTGCCTTGAGGCCCTTGATCTAACCACCAACAAAATCTATACTTCTTGTTGTGTCAAATTCATTTTATCAATACTTCAATAACTAAATGTCTGCCCCTCTATTTTCTCATCCTACATTCCAACCTGCACCCGATAAATTGAATTGGGCACCATCTTAATTACCTCCAAATCTATAACTACGCAAAGTTTGCAACAAATTGCTTATGAATCTGAATAGTAACTTCCTCAGTGAATTGATCTCCAAACAAAAACACAACACAACATTAATTAAAAATAAAATAATTAAATAATAAACACAACCCTCTGCTGCCCAGTACTAGCGCCACCAACTCGCAACCCCTCGCGCTACACAACCTCGCCCACCGGCAGCCACCAATTCGAACAAGCAAAATCATAATGGGGCGTTGAGTGGTGTCATGGAGGGTGGCGGAAAGGGAGGGGGGTCACCGGAGTCAGGGGAATGGGTTGAGCACCGGCTGCCAGCCGCCGGCAGTGTAGGGGTGGTGCTGTGCTTGGAGGTGTTGCTGGCGTTTGGTGATGATGTTGTGGTTGTTCTTTGTTGTGGCAGTAGGGTGGTTTTGATTTTATTTTATTTTTTTTTTATTTCTTTTTTTTGTAAGAATTATCAAAATTTAAAAATTAAAAAAAAAAAAACTTGACCAATGATTTAATGACATGTGGACTTTTACCTGTTATAACAGGTAGGTAACCTGCTTGGTCCATTTTGAGCGAAAAATGGCAAACTTCTGTCTAATATGGGCAGATTTATAGGTTTGTCCATTTTGGGAGAACCGGCCAAAGGTTGGTCTATTTACGTTAATTTTTCTAAAAAACAAAAAAAAAAAGTAATTAGCATAATAAAGTTAGTTGTTTGGGCCGTACTTGGGCTTTAATTCTATATGTTGAACCTTACCTGCACAATTAGACCTCTACTTAATTTCCTTACATTTATAACGTTAGGTTTTGTGCCATATAATTCTCTCTAATTTATTTCCCTCCAAAAAAAACGGTAATTTAAATAGATGAATGAAGACTTTGAGATCAGCTGTGAAAAGCTGTTTCTACGAGGTTCCTTCTCTCCATTGTCACGCATTGAAGCTTGGAACAATAGAAAGCACTTACGATGCAAACGTTATCGTAAGCGGGTATGCGAAACACGGTCATTTGAAGATTGCACACCAACTGTTCGACGAAATGTCTCGCAGAGATACTGTTTCTTGGAACACCATGATTGCTGGCTATGTAAATTCTGGATCTTTTGGTCCCTCTTGGAAACTATTGATTGATATGAGACGGCGTGGATTCGCGGTCGATAAGTACACTTTTGGTAGTATTCTTAAGGGAGTTGCTTCCAATGGAGAGTTTAGTTGTGGGGAGCAATTGCATTCTATGGTTATTAAGGCGGGGTCTCAATTTAATGTTTATACTGCAAGTTCACTTTTGAATATGTATGCTAAGTGCGGGAGGATCGAGGATGCGTATTCGGTGTTTAAGATTATGCCTAACCGTAGTTCTGTCTCTTGGAACGCTATGATTGCAGGGTTTGTGGAGCAAGGTGATTTTGAGACTGCATTCGAGCTTTTCGATGGCATGGGAAAAGAGGGCGCGAAGATTGAAGATGGAACAGTTGCACCATTATTAACAGTACTTAATGACCCTGATTATTTCCGGTTACCTATTCAACTGCATTCAAAGATTATCAAGCTTGGGTTGAGTACTAACAATATTGTTTGCAATGCTCTTCTTACGTCATATTCTGAGTGCGGTTCGTTGGAATATGCAGAGAAGATGTTCTATGGTGCCTTTGATGTTCATGATTTGGTAACTTGGAATTCCATGCTGGGGGCATACCTTCTACATAACAAGGAAAGCCTTGCATTTAAAGTATTTGTTGATATGCAATTGTTTGGTTTCGAACCTGATATATATACATATACCAGTGTTGTCAGAGCCTGTTTCAAAGAGACACATCAGCTGTATGGAAAATGTGTCCATTGCTTGATAATAAAGCGGGGACTAGAGAGTTCCACAGCAATAGCCAATGCATTAATAGCTATGTATATGAAGTCGACTGAAAAAGCTGTAGCAGATGCACTAAGATTGTTTGAATCAATAGATCCTAAAGATTCCGTCTCTTGGAATTCTGTTGTAACTGGGTTCTCACAGTTTGGCTTCAATGAAGATGCAATAAAGTTCTTTGGGAAGATGAGGTCACATAATTTTGGGATTGATCACTATTCTCTTTCTGCAGTCCTGAGATCTTGTGCAGACTTAGCAGCCTTGCAATTGGGCCGTCAAATTCATGCTTTGACTCTTAGATCTGGATTAGAAACTAATGAGCATGTAGCTGGCTCCTTAATTTTCATGTATACTAAATGTGGCCTACTTGACAATGCTAGAAAGTCTTTTGAAGAAACCCCAAAAGACAGCCCAATTACTTGGAACTTTATCATTTTTGGGTATGCTCAGCATGGGCAAGGCAAAATCGCTCTTGAGCTTTTCCATCAGATGACAGAAAGTAAGGTGAAGCTTGATCATGTGACCTTCGTTGCTGTCCTAACTGCATGTAGCCACATGGGTTGGGTGGAAGAAGGTCGAAATGTTCTTAAAACAATGGAATCAAAGTATGGCATTACACTGCGAATGGAACATTATGCTTGTGCTATTGATTTGTTTGGAAGAGCTGGGCTCTTAGGTGAGGTGAAGTCCTTGGTCAAATCAATGCCATTTGAGCCTGATGTAATGGTGTGGAAAACTGTATTGGGTGCATGTAGAAGCTGCGGAGATGTCGAATATGCAACTAAGGTTGCAAATCATCTGCTTGAAATCGCTCCTCAAGAGCACTGTAGTTATGTTATCCTGTCTGATATCTATGGGCGTCTTAAGAGGTGGGAAGAAAAGGCTAATCTGACAAGGTTGATGAGAGAAAGGGGAATAAGGAAGGTCCCAGGCAGCAGCTGGATAGAGATAAACAATGAAGCTCATGCTTTTAATGCCGAGGGTAGTTGTCATACCAATGTCATAGAAATATATGCAACCTTAGAAGGACTTATGAAGGAAATCAGAATGCTAAAAGATGCCTCTAACTTAGAGATTTCTGTTGAGGAGTGGGCTCTCCTTGATGTTGATTGCTGATGACTCGCTGACAGTTCAAGCATATATCGTGGACTTGGCAGCAAAGGTAGTTATTTGAACATTTACCTCTAGCTCATGTCCTGGAATTAGCCTTTTAGATGGAAGTATAATCTACTCTGCAGTTCCATCTTTAGGATTAACATGCTATCTGCTTCATCAAATTATGACAACATGCTCAACCTTTGTTGTTTTAATTTGCATAAAATGGCAGTGACAATTAAAAATAAAGAGGATGTGGATTCCCAGTTACGCTGTTATACGGTTTGTTGGTGTCTTTTCACTTGATTTTCTTTTTGTCCTTTCTAATGGACCTGGAGAGTGAAGTGGTGGTATCCATGACATATAACAGCCACGGATCCATAAATTAGCTTTTGAGTAAGTCCCAATGAAAAAAGCATTTTGCTGTTTTTAATCACTAAAAAAAATTCAATTACAATGAACCATTAATTATTAAAATAAATCACAATTTAGCTCCTTTAAAAAAACATGTTAAAAAAAAAGTGATGCTAAAATGGTTGGGGCCATGCCATGCCATGGGCCAATGACATTGAATATATGTTTCGTTGATAAAGTTTAGAGATATATCTTGGTTTCTAGCTATTCTCTTTATTATAACTAATAATATAAGTGTTTGGCTCTTTGTTGATTATCGATTGGGTTTTAGTATATTAATGTTGATTGTATTCAAATTTAAACAAGCCATGGTATTTTTTTACTTAAGAAAAAGAAAAGCTTAATTATGATTGTTTACGAACCATTACAAAGGAAGGATATATACAAAAACTAAAGATAGACGCATTTGACGAAGAATTTGATTCTTCCCGCAACCTAGCAAGTACATTTTTACTTAGAAATGTAAGAAAGCTATTCATCCAACTAGTGTTTTTGATGGCTAAGAATGAATTCTGAAATCATTATCGCATTATAGCTAGCTTTATTTGCTTATTTTACTTGATCACTACTAATCAAGATTCACTACCTTTGTTCTCTTGCTTTCTTCCCCCACCTAGAAGCCTAGGCTTGAATCCCTTTTCTAGCATATGCTCCACCTCCTCAATGGGTAGCCCTTTGGTTTCGGGCACCAAGATGTAGATAAAAATGAGCCCGACTATTGAGAAACCGGCGAACAAGAGGAAGGTTCCTGCTGATCCCAAGGCTTGGGTTAGGGTTAGGAATGTTTCACTAACAATGAGATTAGCTGTCCAGTTAGCCACGGCAGCTATCCCTCCACCAATTCCTCTGTACCTCAAAGGGTATATTTCTGAGTTCACGATCCATGGTGCTGTTCCCATTCCCGGGGAGAAGGATATGATGTATGCTCCTAAAAGAATGACAGCCAAAAAACCAAATTTGCTAGGACAACCTTCTGTGAAGTACACTCTTCGCTCCTTTAGACATGCTGCTTTTAAGCCATCTGTTTTCGACACACATGCTCCTGGATGTAACTGATAATATACCGAAAAGAAGAACAAGGAACCTAATTAATATGACTAGTACTTTGAAAATAACATTCTACAAAGCAAGACATTAAGAAGTTTAAGTAATTAAGTTTACCTCATTTCCTGGATTTGCACGGAAAGCACAACCTGAGGTGCTTTTCAAACAAGTCATACAGTTCCAAGTTGCAGGATTTTGAGCAGTGGAAAAAGCAGGACAAGTAGAGTTAACTCCAAAATGGGTAGATTCTGCAACACTGATTCTAGGAGCATGCGCAGCAGCTTGATAGAAGACAATAGCCAAGGCAATAAGGCATGTAATGATGCCAAACAAAGAAATGATCATAAGCCTCCTTCTCCCATACCTGTCGACAAACATCATGCTGACAACCGACCCAACTGCATTAAGTCCGGAGGTGATTAAAGAAAGATCCATGGCCGTGCTTTTCGAGGCAATCCCTGCTAACTGCACAATTGTAGGGCTGTAGTACATGATCGTACTGATACCCACAAACTGTTGAGCCACTTGAACTGTGACTCCAGCATATAGCCCTCTTCGGAAAACTTGGTTTCCCCAAGCATTCTTTATTTTGTTTAACATGTTACCTCCACCAACTAATTCGTCTTCTGCCTTTTCAGAGTCAACCGATGCCTTGAGTGCTTTCATTTCCTCTTCCAATTCTTCTGCAGGATAGATCTTAGCCAAGATAGCTTCTGCCTCAGACACTTTTTCCTGATCCCAACAAAGAAAGGGAAAAAAATTCGTAAAAATCTTGGAGTTGACAAAGCTTGGGAGGTCTACATCGACTAAAAATGTACACAAACTCCCTATAACTGTTTGTATTTGGTGGCAAAGTCTTGTATGAGACGGTCTTTTAATATGCAGTAACTTGCAGGAAAATCAGATAACGTACTGTTCACTGTTTTTGTGTAGATGCAACTCTAAACATCTGATAATAAATATGTAAAAGGTCTCACATAAGACTTGCCGAATTATGAAGTTACAGTTGCACATAATTCACACATACCTTTCTGTAAAGCCATCTAGGAGACTCTGGAAGGGACAACATCAAGATTAGTTGCACTAATGCTGGTAGAGCAGCCACCCCCAGCATCCATCTCCAAGTCCCCTTAACCTGAATGACAGTACACAGGACCGGTACATATCTAAGTTTGTTAGTAAAAAAATAAATCACAATATAACATTTTTCACAAGAACCTAAACTTTGCCAAATATATGTAGCACATAGGCCACATACAGATACATTACCCGAGTGAAACCAAGGTTGATGAGGTAAGATAAAAACTGGCCTCCTGTGATGAGAAAACCATTAGTGCTAACAAGGGCACCTCGGATCCTGCTAGGGGAAGTTTCGGATATGTACAAAGGTGAAGTCATAGAAGCCATTCCGACTCCTAGGCCAACAAATATTCTTCCAAGTATGATCACCCATGGAGCAGGAGCAAGGGCCATGATAACAGCACCAATGAAGAACAAAACATCAGCAATTATAATTGTTGGTCTCCTCCCTTTCTTATTGTTTAGCCACCCTCCGAGTCCTGCTCCGATGATTGCTCCTGCAACCGCCATGGACACAATGGTTTCCTACCAAACGAATCATTCACAAAAAAAATCTCAAAACTTCATTGCATGGTTACTCCCTTTTAAAGTTGTTTAGCAGAAATTGTTTATTTAAATGAGTATATATTACTAATAATTTTATTCTTATTTTGCTACTGAAGCTGAGCATAACACATCAAATTTCTACTACTTAAACATGTCAATCCAAAGAGCATTAACCACAGAGTACAAGTTGAAATCTGATGCAACATACGTACGTATTTAACACCTAAAGAATGCTATTAACATAAATTAAAGAACAAAACTTTGAGGTTTCTAGTGAGTAACATTGCTCTACTCCGCTGAAATATTCTATGCAAAAATCACTAAAATAATAATAGTAAAATTAGATACATATATACCTGCAACCATGTTTTTCGTTCCACTTCTTTAAAATCTTCCTTAATGTAAAGAAGAGCACCAGATACAACACCTACACAATCAATTTAATCACCATTACTCACCAGTCACCACCAATCTTCTTCAAGCATAAAACTTTGACATAAATTAAATTTTATACATTTATACAATAACCACCACTCATAATATATAAACCCCGCCTTAGACACACGCGTTACAGACTGTGCCTAAGGCAGATTTGGTTCACATGTGCGCAACTTTATCTCTAATCAACCTAATTAAATGTAAATTAAGTAAAAGTAATAAACAAGAAGGTTAAAAAAAACAAACCAACCTGTGTCATAACCAAAGAGAAGGCCTCCAATGCCAGCAGAAAGAGCAAGCCGCATAATATAAGGAGTTTTTCCAATTGTTCTGAAACATTCTGTAAACTCTGTTCTATCTGCCTTCACTATTCCACCTTCCACCATTTTTTTTTAATGCAAATTTCTGTCTTTTTATTTCTATTATTTTTAAGAAATCAAAACATTTAAGATTTCAGTTTTTAAGAGTGAAAGAGAAAAAGAGGAGAGAAAAGGAGAAAAATTTGTGTAACTTTTTTTTTTTTTTTTTTTGGTACACAAATTTTTTCCCTACCTTTGTTCTTATTTTATTTAAGGTTCACTACATTATTTGTTCTTATTTCACTACATTATTTTATTTGATCATGACTAATCAAGATTCACTACCTTTGTTCTCCTGCTTTCTTCCCCCACCTAGAAGCCTAGGCTTGAATCCCTTCTCTAGCATATGCTCCACCTCCTCAATGGGTAGCCCTTTGGTTTCGGGCACCAAGATGTAGATAAAAATGAGCCCGATTATTGAGAAACCGGCGAACAAGAGGAAGGTTCCTGCTGATCCCAAGGCTTGGGTTAGGGTTAGGAATGTTTCACTAACAATGAGATTAGCTGTCCAGTTAGCCACGGCAGCTATCCCTCCACCAATTCCTCTGTACCTCAATGAGTATATTTCTGAGTTCACGATCCATGGTGCTGTTCCCATTCCCGGGGAGTAGGATATAATGTATGCTCCTAAGAGAATGACAGCCAAAAAACCAAATTTGCTTGGACAACCTTCTGTGAAGTACACTCTTTGTTCCTTTTGACATGCTGCTTTTAAGCCATCTGTTTTCGACACACATGCTCCTGGATGCAACTGATAATATATTGAAAAGAAGAACAAAGAGCCAAATTAATATGACTGGTACTTTGCAAAATTTATTTTAAAAAGCAAAGACATTTAGAAGTTTTAGTAAGTTTACCTCATTTCCTTGGTTCGCACAGAAAGCACAACCTGAAGTACCTTTTAAACAGGTCATACAGTTCCAAGATGCAGGATTTTGAGCAGCGGTGTAAGCAGAACAAGTAGAGTTAACTCCAAAATTGCTAGATTCCGCAAAACTGATTCTAGGAGCATGCGCAGCAGCTTCATAGAAGACAATAGCCAAGGCAATAAGGCATGTAATGATGCCAACCAAAGAGATGATCATAAGCCGCCTCCTCCCATGCCTGTCTACAAACATCATGCTGACAATCGACCCAACTGCATTGAGTCCGGAGGTGATTAAAGAAAGAGCCATTGCAGTGCTTTTTGAGGCAATCCCTGCGAACTGCACAATTGTGGGGCTGTAGTACATGATTGTATTGATACCCACAAATTGTTGAGCCACTTGAACAGTGATTCCAGCATATAGCCCTCTTCGGAAAACTTGGTTTCCCCAAGCATTCTGTATCTTGCTTAACATGTTATTTCCACCAACTAATTCGTCTTCTGCCTTTTCAGAGTCAACTGATGCTCTGAGTGCTTTCATTTCCACTTCTAATTCTTCCGCGGGATAGATCTTAGCCAAGATAGCTTCTGCCTCAGTCACTTTGTCCTGATCCCAAAGATAGGGAAAAAAATTCATAAAAATCTTGGAGTAAACAAAGCTTGGGAAGGTCTACATTGAATACATACCACAACTTTCCTATAATAACTGTTTAGATTATTTGGGGAAAAAAAATTATATGAGACGGTATTTTAATACTTAGTAACTTTCAGAAAAACCACATAACATTATACTGTTTTTTTGTAGAGGCAACTTTAAACATCTGATAATAAATATGTAAAAGGTCTCACATAAGACTAGCCGAAGTTACAGTTGCACAT